AGTTAAATTAGATGGTGATCATGGTGCTCCAAACACCAGTGCCCAGTGCAGAAAAAACGCCCAACGTACGTTTCGGTGCAGAGAGATGCACCTTCGTCAGGGGCCAACAGATAACTGAAGAGAAGCCTCTTAAATACCCCAATTGCCAGGAAGCATGATTACCTTGTAGCCAATGGAGTGTGGGGGTGTATACCTCCCCAGCTGCCTCTAATATCCTGGCTATTCCTCTGTGATTGCTAATGCTCATTCATCTGTATGAAGGGGAAATCCCTCAGCCGGTCACGTGACCTGTGATGTCATGCGTCATGTGACGTATCTGGCATTCTCCTAATGGGGCGTGTCTCATTCATCATAGTGCTGCAGTACCGCCCATCCGAGCCTCTCCTGTCCATCATCCTCACATGGGTTGATCCCCTGTGACAGATGGGCGGAGCTAGGTATTCTCTGTGTATGGAGAAACCGAAATTGTCCAAATTAAGGCTCAAATTGATAAGCTGCATATTGATAATGTATCATTCCAAAGTACCAATGTGTACTATATAGGATGTACAGAATCAGCTGAAAATATAAGGCAGTGCTGATTACATATTATTCTAATATTGAATCTATTAAAGATGTAGTAAAGAATATGAGAGGACACCCCAATAATAAGAGAAAAATTGAATGATAAGGGGTCCTGGGATGTTGTTAACTCCCACTCCCCCATCCCAGGCAAGGATATAAGATAATAAATATATTTAGTGTTCATAGGACCCATGCTAGGATGCAAACTTAACATGGTACATCCTGCCGCTATATCCTGTACACTGAGTCACTTGACAATATGGCCCTCTGAATGACCAGATATGACTTAGTCCGTGAAATAAAAATAATAATAATAAGGCTAGCATTCTTTTTGTCAAGAGGTCTTTAAACTTATGGCACCTGAGGTTCCTAGTTGGTCTCCCATACAAGTACTAACCAGGCCCAAGTCTGGATGGCTTCTGAGATCTGACGAGATCAGGCATTTTCAGACTGGTATGGCCATTGATATTTTCATTCAAGTGCTCAGCAAGCTTGGTCTAGGAACATTATTGGTATTATAATCATTATATAGCTATTTCCTTGGGAAAATTCAAGCATTAGCAATTTAGTGGTCCTCATCCGGTAATCATGAGAATAAATTTATATGATAAAAAATAATATAAAAAATAATAATAAATAGAAAAGAATAGTGATAATAGTAGTAATAGTAATAAGCAAAGAATATATCCATTGTGGAACAAACCGCGCTATATTTACAAATTTACAAGTGTATCAGGCCATAAGGCTCACTCAGAATAGATTAGTGCAGAGATCACCCGCCGAGTACCACTGCCCGTATATAGGTCTGAGTCCCACACCTGGTATCAGTGATCTGCAATAAATGGTGTATATGAGAAACCTTCGTTAAGTCCCAAGGGTGACAGGGTTTTGAGCTTATAGATCCAGAAGCTCTCCCTTTGGAGTAGCTTCTTGTCTAAATCCCCCCCTCTTGGTCCCAAGGTAACCCTTTCAATACCACTAAATCTGATTCCTTCAGATGAGCCCCCATGATGTAGTTTCAAATGTTTAGAGATAGGGGTGTCGATTTGTCTTGTGGGGTTTACCGAATTGACATGTTCCCGTATCCTAAGTTTAAACATCCTAAAGGTTTTTCCCACATACAGTTTTTTGCACGAACAGGAAAGTAAGTAGATAAGCCCTTTGGACTGACAGTTAAAGAAATTCTTTACTTTGAATTCCTGTGTGCCAAGGGAGTCTGGGAATGTTTTGGAGGGTCTAAGTATAAACCTACATGCCTTGCATTTCCCACATTGATAGGTCCCTAAGACTGGGGACTTCAGCCATGATGTTTTCTGGGGTGTAGTCTTGAGATGGCTAGGGACCAACATGTCCTTGATGTTGCGTCCCCTTCTTGCTGTTACTGAAGCCTTATGTGTGATTACCTTCCGTAAGTGTGGGTCTTGTTGTAGAAGGGGCCAGAATCTGTCCAAGATTTGCATCATTTGATGCCAGCCGGCATCAAAATTCCCTATACATCTTATGACTGCCTGTGATGGCTCTGGGTTATGTTCAATTAGAAGGTCTTTCCGATCTGACAGTAAGGCCCGTTTATAAGCGTGCTTTAAGCATCTATTCGGGTACCCCTTTTGTTTGAATTGGAGTTGTAAGGTCTTAGCCTTTAGTTTAAAATCATCCAATGTAGAGCAATTGCGTCTAAGGCGCAAGTATTGTCCAGTTGGAATCCCTTTCTTTAGGGAAGGGGGATGATGGCTAGACCAATTCAGCAAGTTATTAGTTGCCGTTGGTTTACGGAACAGAGTTGAAATGAGGCACCCTTCTTCTGTCAGCGAGATGGTGAGGTCCAGAAAATTAATTCTATTGCCACCAATTTCACTAGTCAGTTTGAGATTAATATTGTTGGAGTTGAGAGTGTGGACTTTGGGGTTAAGCCCCTCTGAGACAGCTGGAGTCTCATACTGGTACGTTGGTCTCTGCGTGACCCCTGCAGCCACTGCCCCCCTTTTGGGGAGGTTTTGAGGTGGTGGGTGCGGCGGCTATACAGGGACTTGGAACGTTGTGTTCCTTGTTCTCTTTTTTGTATTCTGCCATAAACCGAGATTAATGACAAACTCTAAGAATGGGACCTGACTGAGCACCGTCTTACTGTTCCCCACATTTTTTTTTCTACACTGTGTGTGGATTATGGCAGTTACCGTATTCAAAACGTCCGAAAAACTGTCTGAATAGCTTCACCCCTCTCAGGCATCCTGAAAATTGTTCTGTTTATCGAGCGTCTTTGTTCTTTTAGGGTTATTTATAAAAGTGTGAATTTAAAGAGACTTTAATGTTTAAGGCCAGAGTAGCGGAACTGAAAGCACAGCTGGCTTAGAGAATTCTTCCAGTTCGGCTATTTTGACCTTAAAGGAGCACTATAGTCAACATATAAAAGCAAGAAAGACCGTTCCCCTAGCCTTCTTTCTTGCTTTTATATTAGTTTCCCTCTAATAATAAATAATTTAGAGTGCTTTTAATCGTGTAAACTTACCTCTGTTCCAGCGTAGAGATCCTCAGCAGGCCACTTCCCCCTTATAGTCAAAATGACGAAGTAGCAGGGCTCAGACGATTCTCTTAGAGAAGCATCATCGGTATGTGGTGCACATGCGCGGCTTCGCGCTGCACCAATCGCATTGTTCTTCATAGAGAAATCAATGCCTCTCTATGAATGAACTCTGAGCGCTGTACTGCATATGTGCACAGTATGCGTGTTCATGAGCTCAGCTCGCTGTCTATGCCTGCCCCCCTCCTATGGCAACACTCCTCAGCCCAAAGTTTGTGTGTTTGTATAGAAACACTATATATAGTGATATCTCTATATATAGTGTTGATATACAAACACACACATTGTAAATATTGTAAACATACACACACTCTTTCTATCTATACATCTATATATATCCCTCTCTATTTCTATCCACCCATCTATCCCTCTCTATCCATCCATCCATCTCTATCCAGGGATGGATGGATGGATAGAGAGGGATGGATGGATGGATTGATTGATGGATAGAGATGAATATATGGAAAGACAGGGATGGATAGAGATGGATGGATGGATAGATGGATAGAGAGGGGTGGATGGATAGATATGGATATCCATAGATAGAGAGGAATGGATAGATGGATGGATGGATATCCATAGATAGAGAGGAATGGATAGATGGATGGATGGATATCCATAGATAGAGATGGATGGATGGATAGGGAGGGATGGATGGATGGATGGATAGAGCGGGAGGGTTGGTTGGATGGATGGATAGAGATGATATCCATAGATAGGGAGGGATGGATGGATAGATAGACAGAGATGGATGGATAGAGAAAGATGGATAGATAGAGATGGATGGATAAATATATGCATAGAGAGGGATGGATAGAGTGGGATGGATGGGTCACTCTCTCACTCACACTCTCTCACTCACCAACTCTTTTTTTTTTTTTTATAATTCTTTATTTTATCAATAACAGATATAATTGTGCAATGCAGTTATGTGGCTTGGGCAGAAGCCGCGGTATCAACCAATTAATTTTTTAAAATAAGTTTACTTACTGTTTGAAGTCAGTAGATCCTCCTGCTCAGTCTCCTGCCTTCAGCTGCATGTCAGCTAGAGCCGACGCTGTGTGTTGCAGGAGATCCTTATCTCCCACACTGTTTGCTCTGGCTGCTGACAGGCTCTGGGTTACTACACGACACAGGAGGCGCGTTCACAGTGCCTCCTGTGTCCTGAAAGCACATTTGATGGCTCTGAGCTAAGGGTGAAGACGTCAAACGTAAGTCCTGCGCATCAGGCAGGACTTGACTCGGAAGTCCCTCTGGTGGCCATCTGAGTGACTGCCACTGGAGGTGTTCCTAGGTTCTAATGTAAACACTGTATTTTCTGAGAAAATACAGTGTTTACATGAACAAGCCTGTAGGGAGCTATTGTACTCACCTGAACAACCCCATTAAGCTGAAGTGGTTCAGGTAACTATAGTGTCCCTTTAAGCTGAAGTGGTTCAAGTGAATATAGTGTCCCATTAAGCTGAAGTGGTTCAGGTGACTATAGTGTCCCTTTGACCCCTTAAGGACACATGACATGTGTGACATGTCATGATTCCCTTTTATTCCAGAAGTTTGGTCCTTGAGGGGTTAAGCTTAAGTGGTTCAAGTGAATAGTGTCCCATTAAGCTGAAGTGGTTCAGGTGAATATAGTGTCCCATTAGGCTGAAGTGGTTTGGGTGACTATAGTGTCCCTTTAAGCTGAAGTGGTTCAGGTGACTATAGCATCCCTTTAAGCTGAAGTGGTTCAGGTGACTATAGCGTCCCTTTAAGCTGAAGTGGTTCAGGTGAATATAGTATCCCATTAAGCTGAAGTGGTTCAGGTGACTATAGTGTCCCATTAAGCTGAAGTGGTTCAGGTGACTATAGTGTCCCATTAATTTTGAATGCTCACTATAGTGAATATCCCTGCCAGCTTGCATTACAAAGTGGTGACCTGCTCACCTGTACCCTTTCTCAGTCTCGATGGGGTTGCCATGCAGGGTGAGACTCTTCAAGTTGGGCAGACATGCCAATTTATCCACCTCTGACAGCTGGCGGATGCTGTTACCATGAAGGTTGAGCACTGAAAGCTGGAGGTAAGTGGTTAGGACCTGGAAAGGAGACAATAAAATGTAATATTATAGTTTATAAAACACCAACGTGCAGAATAAAAAAAACAAATGTACAAGTAACTGCAGCAGAGCAGGCTTAGCATAGAGGAAGGAGTGATGAGAACCATGCTCAGACCAGCATACCTGCTTAAACATGCACAAATGGGTAATCTAATAGCAGAGAATTTATAGTTTAGCTAAATGGGTCTTTATTTAAGTCAAATCGTGTGATATGTACCAGGAATGATGTATTAGTATACACGAGACAATCCAAAATGTCCAATACATGGCCCTTCACCTCTCTCAGCGTTACATGGGAGCACACAAATAGAAAGGTAGCACTTTGTTACTCTTTAAGTGATGGATCGGCAAGATTGTTATTTAGTGCACGTTGTCCACATTCTGCAAATCTTCTCATCTGATTTGTATTGTAACTGGTGCAAGACTCAGGGGCTGATGCCTGTGCTAGCAAACCCTTCTGGGATTTTCCTGCAGGAGAGTGCAGTTACGTTTACTAAGCCGGGCTGTGCAGAGCTGCTCTTATTGAGTGTCCGCTGAATGCCCTCTTAGTTTGGCCATGCTTAGCTGAATAGCACCATCCTGCTTTACCTCCTCACAAAACATGTAGGGTAAGGTGGGACTGGTTCTGAGAGTGGGTGGAAGAATCGGTGACCAATATACAGCTCAGGGTCCCCAAGCAAGCACCCACTAAGAGGAGTGAGGACGCTTATAATCAATACTGCAAAAATGTGTACTGGCTGCATGGACCGCTACATGCCAGTTACTGGCAGTGTGACCCGCTACATGCCAATTACTGTCGGTGTGACCCGCTACATGCCAGTTACTGGCGGTGTGATCTGCTACATGCCAATTACTGGTGGTGTGACCAGCTACATGCCAATTACTGGCAGTGTGACCCGCTACATGCCAATTCCTGGCAGTGTGACCCGTTACATGCCAATTCCTGGCAGTGTGACCCGTTACATGCCAATTCCTGGCAGTGTGACCAGCTACATGCCAATTCCTGGCAGTGTGACCCGTTACATGCCAATTCCTGGCAGTGTGACCAGCTACATGCCAATTCCTGGCAGTGTGACCCGTTACATGCCAATTCCTGGCAGTGTGACCAGCTACATGCCAATTCCTGGCAGTGTGACCCGTTACATGCCAATTCCTGGCAGTGTGACCAGCTACATGCCAATTCCTGGCAGTGTGACCAGCTACATGCCAATTCCTGGCAGTGTGACCCGCTACATGCCAATTCCTGGCAGTGTGATGCACTATATGTATATGCTGATTACTGGCGGTGTGATCCTCTACATGCCAATTACTGGCGGTGTGATCTGCTACATGCCAATTACATGCCGATTCCTGGAGAAGTGGTCTGTTACATGTCGATTCCTGGAGAAGTGGTCTGTTACATGTCGATTCATGGTGAAGTGGTCTGCTACATGCCAATTACTGGCAGTGTGATCCGCTACATGCCCGTTACTAACGGTGTGATCCGCTACATGCCCGTTACTGGCGGTGTGATCCGCTGCATGCCCGTTACTGGCGGTGTGATTGCTATATGCCGATTACTGACGGTGTGACTCGATATATATATGTGTCAATTACTGGCGGTGTGGCCTGCTACATGTCAATTACCGGCAGTGTTGTCTGCTACATGCTGATTCCTGGAAAAGTGGTCTGCTACATGCTGATTCCTGGTGAAGTGGTCTGTTACATGCCGATTCCTGGAGAAGTGGTCTGCTACATGCTGATTCCTGGTGAAGTGGTCTGTTACATGCCGATTCCTGGGAAGTGGTCCCTTAAATGCTGATTCCTGGTGAAGTGGTCTGTTACATGCCGATTCCTGGAGAAGTGGTTTGCTACATGCTGATTCCTGGTGAAGTGGTCTGTTACATGATTCCGAAGTGGTCCTGCTGATTCCTGGTGAAGTGGTCTGCTACATGCTGATTCCTGGTGAAGTGGTCTGTTACATGCCGATTCCTGGGAAGTGGTCCCTTAAATGCTGATTCCTGGTGAAGTGGTCTGTTACATGTCGATTCATGGTGAAGTGGTCTGCTACATGCCAATTACTGGCAGTGTGATCCGCTACATGCCCGTTACTGGCGGTGTGATCCGCTACATGCCCGTTACTGGCGGTGTGATCCGCTACATGCCCGTTACTGGCGGTGTGATCCGCTACATGCCCGTTACTGGCGGTGTGATTGCTATATGCCGATTACTGACGGTGTGACTCGATATATATATGTGTCAATTACTGGTGGTGTGATCTGCTACATGTCAATTACCGGCAGTGTTGTCTGCTACATGCTGATTCCTGGAAAAGTGGTCTGCTACATGCTGATTCCTGGTGAAGTGGTCTGTTACATGCCGATTCCTGGAGAAGTGGTCTGCTACATGCTGATTCCTGGTGAAGTGGTCTGTTACATGCCGATTCCTGGGAAGTGGTCCCTTAAATGCTGATTCCTGGTGAAGTGGTCTGTTACATGCCGATTCCTGGAGAAGTGGTCTGCTACATGCTGATTCCTGGTGAAGTGGTCTGTTACATGCCGATTCCTGGGAAGTGGTCCCTTAAATGCTGATTCCTGGTGAAGTGGTCTGTTACATGTCGATTCATGGTGAAGTGGTCTGCTACATGCCAATTACTGGCAGTGTGATCCGCTACATGCCCGTTACTGGCGGTGTGATCCGCTACATGCCCGTTACTGGCGGTGTGATCCGCTACATGCCCGTTACTGGCGGTGTGATTGCTATATGCCGATTACTGACGGTGTGACTCGATATATATATGTGTCAATTACTGGTGGTGTGATCTGCTACATGTCAATTACCGGCAGTGTTGTCTGCTACATGCTGATTCCTGGAAAAGTGGTCTGCTACATGCTGATTCCTGGTGAAGTGGTCTGTTACATGCCGATTCCTGGAGAAGTGGTCTGCTACATGCTGATTCCTGGTGAAGTGGTCTGTTACATGCCGATTCCTGGGAAGTGGTCCCTTAAATGCTGATTCCTGGTGAAGTGGTCTGTTACATGCCGATTCCTGGAGAAGTGGTCTGCTACATGCTGATTCCTGGTGAAGTGGGTCTGTTACATGCCCATTCTGGTGGTCCCTTAAATGCTGATTCCTGGTGAAGTGGTCTGTTACATGCCGATTCCTGGAGAAGTGGTCTGCTACATGCTGATTCCTGGTGAAGTGGTCTGTTACATGCCGATTCCTGGGAAGTGGTCCCTTAAATGCTGATTCCTGGTGAAGTGGTCTGTTACATGCCGATTCCTGGAGAAGTGGTTTGCTACATGCTGATTCCTGGTGAAGTGGTCTGTTACATGCCGATTCCTGGAGAAGTGGTCTGCTACATGCTGATTCCTGGTGAAGTGGTCCCTTAAATGCTGATTCCTGGTGAAGTGGTCTGTTACATGCCGATTCCTGGGAAGTGGTCCCTTAAATGCTGATTCCTGGTGAAGTGGTCTGTTACATGCTGATTCCTGGAGAAGTGGTCTGCTACATGTCGATTCATGGTGAAGTGGTCTGCTACATGCCAATTACTGGCAGTGTGATCCGCTACATGCCCGTTACTGGCGGTGTGATCCGCTACATGCCCGTTACTGGCGGTGTGATCCGCTACATGCCCGTTACTGGCGGTGTGATCCGCTACATGCCCGTTACTGGCGGTGTGATTGCTATATGCCGATTACTGACGGTGTGAAATTACTGGCGGTGTGATTGCTATATGCCGATTACTGACGGTGTGACTCGATATATATAGGTGTCAATTACTGGTGGTGTGATCTGCTACATGCCCATTATTGGCGGTGTGGCCTGCTACATGCTGATTCCTGGTGACGCGGCCTGCTACATGTCAATTACCGGCAGTGTTGTCTGCTACATGCTGATTCCTGGAGAAGTGGTCTGCTACATGCTGATTCCTGGTGAAGTGGTCTGTTACATGCCGATTCCTGGGAAGTGGTCCCTTAAATGCTGATTCCTGGTGAAGTGGTCTGTTACATGCCGATTCCTGGGAAGTGGTCCCTTAAATGCTGATTCCTGGTGAAGTGGTCTGTTACATGCCGATTCCTGGAGAAGTGGTCTGCTACATGCCGATTCCTGGGGAAGTGGTCTGCTACGTGCCGATTCCTGGGGAAGTGGTCTGCTACATGCCGATTCCTGGGGAAGTGGTCTGCTACATGCCGATTCCTGGGGAAGTGGTCTGTTACATGCCGATTCCTTGGGAAGTGGTCCATTACATGCCAATTCCTGGGGAAGTGGTCCATTACATGCTGATTCCTGGGAAGTGGTCCATTACATGCCGATTCTTGGGAAATGGTCCATTACATGCAGATTCTTGTGAAGTGGTCCATTACATGCCGATTCTTGGGAAGTGGTCCATTACATGCCGACTCCTGGTGAAGTGGTCTGTTACATGCTAGATAGTTACATTACTAGCGGCGTGGTCTGTAACGGCACCCCGGGCATAAAAGGGTCCATTACATGCCGATTCCTGGGAAGTGGTCCATTACATGCCGATTCCTGGGAAGTGGTCCATTACATGCAGATTCCTGGTGAAGTGGTCTGTTACATGCTAGATAGTTACATTACTAGCGGCGTGGTCCATTATATGCTGATTCCTGGTGACGCTGTTCTGCTACATTCCACTGCACAATGCAGCAATATGTGCAATCATGTTTGCGAGCACATACATCTGTGAACAGAAATTTTCAACAACGAATCTTCACAGATGCAAATCCAAAGCAAATTAACAGGTGAAAAAGAAATTCAACCTGCAACCAATTATCAAAAAGATCACCTTCAAGATTCGAGTACAACCAACATGTTGACATCTCATGGCAGTGGCCTCCGATAAGAATTTCAGTCAGTCACCTGGCTAACGCTCTAAAAATGATGTGCACCCGTAATTTATACCAGCCTAGTCCACACTAGAGTATAGAGGCTCCATATACTAGGAATAAATGCAGCTAGATTGTGAGAGGGTTGACAAGAATGTTCACAATGAGAAAGTTGGACATTGTATGAATGAGATGGGGGGGAGCACTGCCCATTAGGTGAGTATTGGATCCCAATTAGAGATGGCAGATCAGATGCTGAGCTGTGTCTATACAACGTATGTCAACAGGCTTACTGGATCAATAGTGGACAGATCATTGAAGGACAGGTCAATCCAGGAGAGCTGTGATGAGTCACTTAGAAGCTTCTCCATTGTTTCCCCGAAGCCTTGAAGGTCAGTTAGGATATTGTTGTTGAGACGCAAGGCTTGACTCAGCAGCTTCCCATCTTTACATCGTTTGACTGGCTTCAGTCCCATGCGGGGCTCCTCCAACAGAGTGTCTGCAATGACAGGACATAGTAAAACACTGTACAAATGGCTCTTTCACTAACTCATTTTTCTATACTTGTTTCACAATAAGTAGACCTGTATTTGTATAAAAGACAAAGGGTTAATATTACCCCTGTCTAAACATAAACACCCTTATTGCCCCAGGCATTAGCCATTGCTGCCTATTCACTAAAAAGACTCTGTCCCAAAGGGAAAGGACCAGAAAATGAACCTGGCACTCGTCTGCCTCCTCTCGTTGGACATCAGTATGTGGCTAAAATGGGGATGGGGGTGAGTGACAAGCTAAAGCAGTGGCTTGCGAGTGGGGGCTCTATAACAATGCATGGGCGGAATTGTCAGTATGCGCGGAGCCCACATGCATTGTTCTTGTGTGTCAAGTTTTTGGGGGTTTTTTGCGATTCATGTCTTTTTTTTTTTTTTTTTTTTTAAGAGTTACATAGCAGAGCGGCCAAAGGTGCCATTAGTCTGCCTGGAAGATGCAGAACCATTAATTAGCCCAATTATTTTCTGTGAATGTCAATTCTGTCCAAATTGAACATCTGTTGTCAGCACACATACCATCAGTCCATGTTTCGAGATGTTCCTGCATGGGATATAAAGTATTATTTTCACAGATGTTTACATGTATTGCCACCCCACTATTATTAGGGTAAATGGAGTAGCTAAGGAATATTTCATGAGGAGTGGCTAGGAGCTTGGGGACCCCTACCTACCCATAGGGGGAAACACTAAAACAAGGGAGCGGACAATGGCTTGTCCACTCCTCATTAGAAAAACATCTTCAGCTGATATTAATGGGTGGAGTGTTGTGGGAGACAATAGCATGTTCTCCTGCTGCTTATTATAGCTCCCCACCTGCTGTCCATGGGTGAGGCCCAGAATGATGATGGCATGTTCTCCTGGTGTATATTATAGCCCCCCACCTGCTGCCCATGGGTGAGGGCCAGGAGAAACGCTGGCATGTTCTCCTGGTGTTTATTATAGCTTCCCACCTGCTGCCCATGGGTGAGGGCCGGGAGGAACGCTAGCATGTTCTCCTGGTGTTTATTATAGCTCCCCACCTGCTGTCCATGGGTGAGGCCCAGAATGATAATGGCATATTCTCCTGGTGTATATTATAGCCCCCACTTGTTGCCCATGGGCGAGGGCCAGGAGCAGCACTGGCATGTTCTCCTGGTGTATATTATAGCCCCCCCACCTCCTGCCCATGAGCCAGGGCCAGGAGAGGCACAGGCATTTTCTCCTGGTGTATATTATAGCACCCCCACCTGCTGCCCATGGGTGAGGGCAAGGAGGGACACTGGCATGTTATCCTGGTGTATTATTATAGCCCCCCATGGGTGAGACCCAGAATGATGATGGCATGTATATTATAGCCCCCCACCTGCTGCCCATAGGTGGGGGCCAGGAGGAACGCTGGCATGTTCTCCTGGTGTTTCTTATAGCCCCCTAACTGTTGCCCATGGGTGAGGGTTGGGAAGGATGCTGGCATGTTCTCCTGGTGTTTATTATAGCCCCCGACTTGCTGCCCATGGGTGAGGGCCAGGAGGGACGCTGGCATGTTCTCCTGGTGTATTATTATAGCCCCCACCTGCTGCCCATGGGTGAGGGCCAGGAGGGACGCTGGCATGTTCTCCTGGTGTCTATTATAGCCCCCCCCCACCTGCTGCCCATGGGTGAGGGCCAGGCAGGGACACTGGCATGTTCTCCTGGTGTATTATTATAGCCGCCCCATCTGCTGCTCAGGGCCAGGCATGTTCTCCTGGTGTTTTATTATAGCCCCCCACCTGCTGCCCATGGGTGAGGGCCAGGAGGGACGCTGGCATGTTCTCCTGGTGTATTATTATAGCCGCCTAGCCCCCCACCTGCTGCCCATGGGTGAGGGCCAGGAGGGACGCTGGCATGTTCTCCTGGTGTATTATTATAGCCCCCCACCTGGTGCCCATGGGTGAGGGCCAGGAGGGACGCTGGCATGTTCTCCTGGTGTATTATTATAGCCCCCCACCTGGTGCCCATGGGTGAGGGCCAGGAGGGACGCTGGCATGTTCTCCTGGTGTATTATTATAGCCCCCCACCTGGTGCCCATGGGTGAGGGCCAGGAGGGACGCTGGCATGTTCTCCTGGTGTATTATTATAGCAGCCTTACCTGCTGCCCATGGGTGAGGGCCAGGAGGGACGCTGGCATGTTCTCCTGGTGTATTATTATAGCCCCCCACCTGCTGCCCATGGGTGAGGGCCTGGTGGGGGCTGAGCAGCAATAACAACCCAGTCACTACATTTTTAATCCTGCTAAGTAGTAGATGCTCACCATGTAGTAGTTATGCCTCCACCCATGGCTGTCAGTTTTATAATTATTTTATATAATGTTGCGACTGGCTAGTAGTGGTTTGTATAGCCCTGTTTGAATATTTCATTGTTTTCTTACTCTTGACCCTAGTTGACCTCTAACCTTTTGTGGGTAACCCCGTGACAATGACATTGGGAACTTCTGCTTTTCATTCATTACACCAGAACTGAGAAGAACTGATAAAAAAAAACTAAGGCAAAATTGGTAAAAATAGATAAGTTGGAGAATGCGTCCAGTTTGTTTCCTCTCTTCTAGAATGTGTGATTCTCCTGTCAGTTCAGGGTATTCTCAATTTAGTGAAGAAAGCTGACAGTACGAGGGTAAAAGGAGCGACTTGGAAACATTCACTTCAGCTATATTCACTGTGCGGGGATTTTAGCCATTTACATTTCATTTCAGTACAATTCAGTGAATATGCTCTTGGTGTTATTTAATGACATTAAATAACACTGACTGTGTGATCTGCGTATAATGTTAGTGTTATTTAATGACTGTGTGATCTGCGTATAATGTTAGTGTTATTTAATGACTGTGTGATCTGTGTATAATGTTAGTGTTATTTAATGACTGTGTGATCTGTGTATAATGTTAGTGTTATTTAATGACTTTGTGATCTGCGTATAATGTTAGTGTTATTTAATGACTGTGTGATCTGCGTATAATATTAGTGTTATTTAATGACTGTGTGATCTGCGTATAATGTTAGTGTTATTTAATGACTGTGATCTGCGTATAATGTTAGTGTTATTTACTGACTGTGTGATCTGCGTATAATGTTAGTGTTATTTAATGACTGTGTGATCTGCGTATAATGTTAGTGTTATTTAATGACTGTGTGATCTGTGTATAATGTTAGTGTTATTTAATGACTGTGTGATCTGCGTATAATGTTAGTGTTATTTAATGACTGTGATCTGTGTATAATGTTGGTGTTATTTAATGACTGTTTGATCTGCGTATAATGTTAGTGTTATTTAATGACTGTGTGATCTGAGTATAATATTAGTGTTATTTAATGACTGTGTGATCTGAGTATAATGTTAGTGTTATTTAATGACTGTGTGATCTGCGTATAATGTTGGTGTTATTTAATGACTGTGTGATCTGCGTATAATGTTAGTGTTATTTAATGACAGTGATCTGCGTATAATGTTGGTGTTATTTAATGACTGTGTGATCTGCGTATAATGTTGGTGTTATTTAATGACTGTGTGATCTGCGTATAATGTTAGTGTTATTTAATGACTGTGTGATCTGCGTATAATGTTAGTGTTATTTAATGACTGTGTGATCTGCGTATAATGTTAGTGTTATTTAATGACTGTGATCTGCGTATAATGTTAGTGTTATTTATGACTGTGTGATCTGCGTATAATGTTAGTGTTATTTAATGACTGTGATCTGTGTATAATGGTAGTGTTATTTAATGACTGTGATCTGTGTATAATGTTAGTGTTATTTACTGACTGTGTGATCTGTGTATAATGTTAGTGTTATTTACTGACTGTGTGATCTGTGTATAATGTTAGTGTTATTTAATGACTGTGTGATCTGTGTATAATGTAAGTGTTATTTATGTAGTGTCAGATCTTTGCAGTACCTGCCATCAAGTTGATGCATTTGAATGATAGATCTACAGGAGCTCCAGGGGCAGAATTTCTTGTCTTACCGCTCATTCTTGGAAGGAAAGCACAAAACCTGAAACTAAATAATTTAATAATTAATGACGACAATAATAATAATGATAATAATGATAATACATAATCATTGTGTTAATACAGTAAAGGAGTTTAAGCATGCGTGGGATAGGCATAAGGCTATCCTAACTATAAGATAAGACTAGGGACTAATGAAAGTATTTAGAAAATTGGGCAGACTAGAT